CCCCTAGTTGTCATTAAATAAAAGTGAATACTGTTAGCGAACCTTAACAGCTGTGTTAAAACACAGCTTGTAGCTCAGTCTGTGCATTTGGTGGCTAGCATCGGTTTCAATCTTTGATTACATGAGTTACATGTGACATGACCATGTTACATGATCGTGTGTTACATGATCATGTGTTACATGTATGAAAATGCATTGTGTGGTTGTGTTGCTATGTAAGACATCAATAAATAACTAGAAAATGCATTTTCTGAAGAAACTGCAGTGTGAATGCTGATAGCTGAATGTTTTGAGCTAAAATGAAACAAATGCTGAATTTAAGTAAAAAATGTTGAATGAGATTAAAAATACAGAAATTTTCACCTGAAAACAAAAGTTGAGAACTGTTGAAAGCTGACGTTCACACAGAAGTTGAAAAGTAGGTGAACATGTTTAAAATGTGAATTAGAAAAAACTGAGTAATGACGAAAGAAAATTTAGAGTCAGAAAACATCTGAATGAATATGAAACCTTATATTATTTAAATCTCCGAATGACTGAAATATGGGAAAATCCACTAAAGACAGCTAAATGTTGTAAGATTCAGTCAGAAAAGATGATTCTAAGTCATCATCTGACTTCAACTGCCGAGATCTCAACCACCAATGAACAATAAGCTTGAATTTAATGGGCCAATCAGAATGCTGTATTTAGCTGGCCTGCAATAACTACTGGCATACTGTTATTCTGTGGCAAAACCCTGTCAAATCTGCTTTGGTGCACCTGTTGAAAAACTGCATCTAAATCCAAGACCATAACTCGTAAAAAACAGCTTGTGAACTGTGAGGATCCCAAGGAATTGTTCTACACAACTGTGTCTCTTTTTTCCTTGTGCTGTCAAAAATGTGATGACAGGAGCGGTTTAACAAGTGGGGTCTTTCCTGCTGTTGAGACAAACTCCTGGCTAAAAATACAATGTATTTATATGGGTCGATTAGAAGGTTATCCCTCTACCTGGATTCACACAGTTCAAAAAGTTTACATCTCTGAGCTTTGGAAAGAGAACAACGATGGCTACGTTTTGAGGGTAAAATGATGGCTGTAGAGCAAACACTGTGGACACAGCAGCAGTTGAAAGAGGTTTTTAACATTAATCTTGGCAGAGTGACAGACAGAGCTCATAAAGCAGGCAGGTGTGAGCCTGGTTGCTATCCGGTCGTTAAGTCTGACATCACTAGCCGTGTCTGGGCCTAAACTCCGCTGCAGGTCCATATATCAAATGATCACTATGGCATTACTGAGAGTTGAAAAACTGTCTAAAGTCTTTCATCTTTAATAAAATGATCAGCGTTCTGCTCTACCAGGTGTAACAGTTGAGTTTAACATCCAGGCATCCATGAAAACGGAATTTATGACATTTAACGGAGTTAGAAGTTAGCAGGAAGTTAGCTCGCTAGCTTCTATCTAAATACAATATAGCATGTCCTGACTGCGGCGGTTTGGAAACAAATTAAAACGTACAGCTCTGTTATCACTTCCAACATAAATGAAGACAGAAAACTAAACAGCAGTGACGTTTGTAGGGTTACTGAAGTTTGGCTAGCTGGTATATAATGATGTGCTACGTGACCGCTAGCGACACGGCTATGTTAGCATAATATAAACAGTTATGTTTGAGTTATGATGCAGCTGTTATACTGGGCAAAGTATGGGACTAATCCGTGGACAGATGATTATAAGTTGTATCGTAATAGCTTTGTGCTAACGATGCTATTTGTTAACTCAGAGCTGCTATTTATTTCTTTACATCTTAGTTCTGGACATTATAGATGAAAATGAAAGAAATCAAAACTGAATGAGGATCTGATGGTACGGTCACCGGAGCAACCTGCAAATCTAAAGGCGACCACAGCATTTAAATCATTACATTGTGCAAAACATGCTAAATTGAGCATGTGCAATCGTGTGAGAGTGGTTTGGGGTCTTTGAAAGGATGAAAAGCAGTTTTCTTGAAATGTGCTTGCTTAATTTGCTTAGCTAGTGGAGTGTAACTTCAGTGTAGGGCCTCAAATCAAAACCTTGATTAACTGAACAGTTTACAGTTATTGATTGATTATTTTATACACACACACACTCATGTCATTTTTCATTCATTGCTCATCTCAACTATAAACAAAAATGAAAATTCGTCCTTGACAATGACACCAGAGCATGCAGAAGGATTTATTAATGCATATCATTTGAATGGCAACAAAAATGCCAGTGTCATGGTGGTGCGAGGGGACACGTGACTAGACTATGATTGTTTGGACTAAAGGCACATGTGGAGAACTGAGCATCATTGCTATTCCTATGTCAAGCTGCTAGCATGCTGGGAAAGAAAAGCATATATCAATATATTACAAGTCTCTGGGTGTCGTTGCAGACGTGTGCTTTAACGAAAGCAATACGTTTTTGAACACTTGTGAGTCATCTTCCTTTTACATCATCACTGGTAGGTGTGTGTTTAAGGGCACTAAATGTTGAGACACACGGCTTATGTCAGAAATCTGAGTGGACCAGGTTGGAGTCTTTAAATCAAGTTGCCGACAGTCCTCATGATTTTAAAAAAATGCTTGATATTTGCTACTGATGGTGTTAGTCAGGTGAGGGAGACATTTTTCATTCACGGTGAATGTAACGGCAGCTCCTGCTTTGCTCCATGTGCTGGATATGTGTGAGTAGTAGGTACCTGTGCGTCCTTCTCACAGCTTTTTTGACAGCTTTGTCTTGGGACGAGTGACGGGGTGACTGACTGGCTGTAATTTGGTTGTCATGGATACAGATGTAGTAGATACACGCGCACACGAGCATGCACAGACAGCAGTGTGACTCCAGGGGTTGATGCGCCTCAAATAGAAACGCAGAGATGAGTCATCCGCCAAGCTGCTGCAGTACACACAAACACACACACACACACACGCACACTCACCTTTAGTAGATGTGTTTGGTATGTTAGACCACTGAGATGTCAGACATGTTGCCTGGACAGTTTCATCTGCTACCATAAACACACGAAAGGCTGATTTTAAGCTAACAGCACAAGTCTTTAATAAATAATCATAGTGTTGGATAACAGAGCAGCAACACAGCAGCCCATTCAGTTTCAACAAGACAGGACACTTCAAGTTAACTTTCTGTATTTACATTTTCTCCCTTCGCTGTGTATATAGTCTTTACTTGTGAGTCATACTGAGGCAGCCTTAGATCTGCTGGAGGACACAGGGAGCTGTTTACACAGGAGGTGAGGATGATGAGGGAGATGAAGGTGATGAGGAGGAGGTGGGATAGAAGTGATGATAAAATGATTCAAAGAAACATTTCTGGAAAGGAAACAGCAGTGACAGTGGTCAACGCAGAGATGAAAAGCAGACGAATACATGAATTAGACGAGTCCTGAGCTGGTCTGCTGGATTTGTTCGTCTGTTAAATGTAAAATCACTGATTACACAGAGCTCAGTTTCTTCTCCTCTTTTGCTTTTTCTAATCCTTGCACTCTGCATTTGCCAGCAGCTGAGACATCCCATTATATTTCGTTACGAGGACCAAAACCTATTCTTAATGTGTAGCTTCTGTGATGACTGAATACTGAATGGAACAAACAAATACTGTAAAGAGCAGTTTCAATGAATAATATCCACGCTGACAGCAAAGTGAGGCGTGTAGCTTCTGGTTACAAAGAAGCCTTTGCAGGATTCTCTGTGACAGTTTTGTATTGGAAGTGAGGTGACTGAAAAATGTCCGAAAGAATAGAATTTTTTTTATTTGAAGCCCGGAGAACGACTGCTCAGGATCAGAATATAAGAAAACAAAAGTCTGGCTGACTGGAAGCAAAATGGGAAGAAATCAGAGGTGACTTAAGACTTATGCACAGTCTTGTAGTTATACTTAATTTAAATTCCTTTTTGAAAATTACATTTTTCAACAAAATGTCAAGAAACTGTTGTGAGTTTGTGTCCAAGGCGTCTTTGTATTGTGTTTAAGAGATTTTAACGAAAGCCTAACTAGATCTGGCCGTACTTTAACTACCAGCTTTTAACCACAAGGTGGTGCAAGTGAGGCAGTGTACTCTTTGTTTAACCCAGCAAGTCCTTAAGACCACAGACGTATTGGCAGCCTGGCAAGTGGCCGATGCTCTTAGAGAAATGGTGGTAGCGAATAAAAAAAGTTAAGCAGCCATCAAATAATAACATCTTAAACCACTAGTAAAACACTGCCCCCTGGTGGTGGAAGTTGTAGCTAATTCAAACAAGTGTCTTTAAGGCTTCAACTTTTCTTTTCAATAAAAACTTGTTTAAGGGTTAAGTGAATGAAGCCTCACAAAAACAATGATTAACAATATTGTTAATGCAATTTAACAGCAAGTACAGCTTAAAGCTGCAGAACCATTCGCAGCACCAGCCTGATGGCGCTACTAAATGGAACAGTTATCAGGATTCCTCCTCTGGGAGCCATGAATGGCTTTGGCTGAATGTTGACATACTTTATTGGTCAGGTGGACATATCGGCCAGCTGGTGGCACTAAATGACCATTCAGCAGATTAGTAGGCTTTATCCTCTTGGCACTGTGGATGCTTGGAGCTGATATCACACTGCGATCTTACACTGCCATCCCCCAGTGCCCGCTGCTAGCTAACATAAACACCTGCACGGCCACAATTTGTGCACCCAAAAAAAGGGGGGTCGTGGAGCTAGCAGAGCAAGAAGAGGTCCACGGTGCCCGCCCACACTCTTTGATTGACATACAATATTTGGCAAGCACAGCACAGAAACATGAAAGCACCCAGCGCCACCCTCCCATCCCCACCCCAGAGCTGCAGGCTTACTGCTCCCTCCTTCTCTCCTTCTCTCCCCTCTCTCTGTCTATTTTTATCTCTAGCTCCTCCTCTACCCTAACAGGCTATTTTCAGCACTGTTCCCCCACCCCAATCGCCTGTGTTTGTAAATGCTTCTCTTCTCTTCTCTTCTCTTCTCTTCTCTTCTCTTCTCTTCTCTTCTCTTCTTCTCGTGTCCTTGCTCCCTCTCCTTCCTATGAAGTAAAATGAGCTGTTGTTGACTTTTCTCTGTATCCGTCTAACTTCCTTTCCACCCAGTGATCTACTTTCAGCCTCTCTCTCTCTCTCGGTCACCCTCCTCCCTCCGTCTCCTGTCTCTCTGTCGACGTTCATTCAGTAGCTCAGTGAGCGTCTCTCACACACTCATCAGTGACTCTCAGTCAGTGAATATTAGCCGTCTGACCAGCAGCTGTTTGTGGTCGCTGTGTCGAGCACCACTGTCTTATGATAAGAGGACAGCGTGCCGTCTCCTCTCCCGCTGCTCAGTTTCTCAGCGAGGACTCCAAACTCGCCGTCCCAGCGTTCTTCCATTTCCTTCTCTGTCTGTCATTCTCTCAGTGCTTCGTTCTAATTTTGGAAACATGGAACCTCGGGGAGCGCTCTCCCAAAGCTATTTACGTCCTTGCCTCTCCTCCTCCTCCACCTCCTCCTTGCTCTCCTCCTCTTTCTTCTCTTCCTCCTCCCTCTCGTCAGCCAGGAGGAGAACAGCGTGAGGATTCTTTGATGCACACAGAGCTGGGGAATTGGGCTGCTCCTCTGTCTGTATTTTTATTGTGTTGACGAGGCTGCAGCAGCTCCCCTCGTCGCCGCTCCTCGCTCTCACAGCCTGTGGGTGACTGGATTTTCCCTCGCAGCTGAATGGAAGAAACAAACTTTCTGTTCCTTCCATCTGCAACACACCCCAACAGCACTGGAGCCAGCACTGTGTTTCTGCATGGATCAGGACTCCAGGTGATGTAGGTACAGAGAAATAAACCAAAAGACCACACAGACACTTTTCAGGTGGTCTCCTTTGGCTGTTGACATTTTGATTGATCTGCGAAGCCCAGCGGAGGGGAGGCTTTCTGTGGGCTGCAGCCGAGACGACGATATTAGAAAGGAGGAGTTTGCTCAAAGTGTCGCCCGCTCGTCATCACAACTCGAGCTGAGCAGTCAGAGACGGCAGAAGCTCCAGGAGTCCGATGGAGACTGGATTACACAAGAGAAGCACAGAGGTGTTCGATTATTTTCTTTTCTTGTGATTTGCGGCCGTTCCCCGCAGAAGTTAGTTTTGAAGTTTTCAGTTCAACTGTATGGGTCTACGGCATGCCTGCGTCTCGGATGAAGAAGTGACTGGTTTAACAAAATAAAGCGCCGGCTCTCGCCTTGGCATGCTGTTGCATCCCACCGTGTCAGGATTGTGCGCCATGTTGCAGACCATCTATGAGACTGAGTCCTGTTTTTCCTCCAGCAGCACAGGCAGCCACCATCAGCCTCTGGAGCTCCTGAGCGGCAACAGGGGCTCCAGCGCTGCCATGCCCACCGCTGGTGAGTCATCTATGGGAAAGTAGGGGTGGGGGGAGAGGGAAGGTGGGACGGAGGGAGTGGGGGTGCTGCGGTGTGCTGGAGTTTGATTAAAACTGATGAATAATTTGACGTTTTCTCTCATAAGGAACGCCTGTGTGGTATTTGTGTTGAAGTTTGTCAGCTGGAGCAGCAGCACTCGCAGCTCGCTGAGGAGACGGTGGTACCTGAGTACACTAAGTGCTCGCTGTCCACAGTTTGCGTCAAACTGTGCACTCCACAGATACCTCATACACGTATTTTTAGATTCAACGTGACTTCCCACATCTCATCTGTATCGTCTTCTCCAGCAAACACATTGAGGATAAATATTGATGGATGTGTTTAGAAATCATAGATTTAAGTAGAATAACTGTGTGCAGGTTTCCAGTGCAAGGCGTCAGTGTTACAACGCAAAAGAAAATATCCTGGTTCCATAGTTTATCCCTGCAGTACAGTTAAACAGACATTTTCTCACAATTGGAACTTTTAACTCTTTAAAAAAAATCTAAATATGTGTAAAAGTCTCTGGTTTGACAAGAGAAAGCTCCACATGTTAAAACAAAAAGAAAAATGAATCAGATTTTTAGAAATAAAGTGCAAGTTGACGAGCCTGACAGAAGGTCAAAGAGAGACGAGATCCAGTCTTCTTTGTAAGAAGAATATTTCACTCTTAAAGCAAAAAAGCAGTTCTCGCTCTTCTTCACGTTTCTTAGAGAAGAAGGGCGGAAAGCCCCGACCAGTCTCTCTTGATCTCTTGCAAAAGGTCTGAGTATTTTTGTAGTTTATGTAGATGGTTTCTCAGTCTGGACACACTTTCTGTCATTCCGTCTCATTCTGTAGACTAAGTTAGCTTTGGGAATCCTTTGGGCATCTTTAGGAAATTGACAGTCTTATAATTATTTATTTTTGGCTACTATAATGCCAAACACAAATGTACACTAGTAGGAAACATGGGTGATGAAATGGATTTTCTGAGCTTTAGGTAGAGTAGAACTGGCCAAACAATGGTGCCAAAATGAGGTGAAGCGGTGTTGAAATGTAGCTTGATGACAGCAGGCTGGAACTAAGAGGATGTATATTGACTCTAATCTTCTTTTGGCTGCCGTTACAATGTTGGCTCCGTGCATGTGTGTGTGTGTTCAGAATTAAAGACTTGCAGAGATTGAAGACGCTGTTAATGAAGTAGCTCAAGATTTGTTAGATTTACATGTGTAGTGGCCCAAAATTCCTTTAAATGAAGTAATGAATTTCCTCTTAGATTGCAAAATGAAAACAACCTGATTACTGTCTGTTTGTTCATATCATTATAACTGGTGAACTATGTGCACATCTTAGGCTTCTCAAAAAAAGAGAATGTCACGAAAAAGAACAAAAGAACTTTCACGTGTACCCTGAAATATATCGAGTCTTCTTTTGTTTGAATTTTGATTATAGCTTATAATCAAAGCCAGCCTCTCTGATTATTAGAAGAGATATATTACAACACACAAATGGCCAAAATGTTCAAAGAAATGTTTGTCTTTACACCCATGACTTTACTCCGTTACTCCTTTACTGTGGATTACTGCGTCAGTGCATCATAGTTGCGGAATTGCAAGGCTGTTATTGAGGTTTCTTTGATAGTGGCCTTTGGCTTTTCTGGATTTTCGAGTTTGGGAGTTTGTCATTTTCATCTACTCCAGAGATTCTCTGTAAGGTTCAGGTCAGGTGAGTTCGTTGGCCAGTTTCATTTTGCACTGTGGACAAGTGCTAATACCTAAATAAAGATATCAACATCTCGAGGAGACTGTGGATCCTTCACACTGCACTTAAAACACTGGGATATCTTCCTTTAAGTTCTTGAGCCTTGATTTCTAAATGCAATGCAACATTTACTTTCATATGAAAAGACTTCCATCATCTCAACACTTCAGTCACCCGGGCTCCTTGTGGATCTTTTCCTATCACACTTTTCCCTTCCAGTAAACTTTCCATGCTTTGGTACGACACTCTGTGAATCCTGTGTTTCCAGCCTTTTCAGCAATAACCTAATGTGGCTTACTCTCGTTGTTGCTTGTCAGTGACTGTAATCTGAACAACTGTCAAGTCGGTAGTTTTCCCTTGATTGTGGTTATTTGTATTCTACTAGCGCAAGAGATGCACGACAGTTCTCTTGCTCTAGTAGGCTGGAACTTTATGTAACCACAAAGTAAAAGTTTACCTTTATAAATGATATTCTACCTTAAGTAACAGCAGCTGTCACCTATTGCTATTCCTGTGGACGTTACAGGCTCCTGTTGTATAGATAACCCTTTAATGTATTTACCACCGATCAGCCGTATCCTTTTCTCCTATTGGTAGTTGATCCAATCCCTTGTCTCAAAGTTGAAAGTTTAAATTAGTCCTTGCCCACTATGTGTCAGTAAAGGTTATTTTGGCTTCGTAAGTAGCTTAAATTCATTGACGTTCACAACAGTATAATCAGTGCTAGCCTGTGTGGACGCATCTGTACAGGCATGTTTAACCCTTTAAAGCTGGTCAGAGCAGCATGCTCCGTTTTGCGTAACAATTTTTAAATCCCTGTAGAACTGGAACCGCGTAAGCTAGCGCAATAATTTTTTTTGCATATGAAACCAGAGGAGTTGTACTTACATCTTATGCCATCAGCTTGTCATAGGTCACGGTTTCCTTCCACATAAAGCTTTGCAAAAATTGCATAAAAAGCGCTTGCAGGAACAAAAACATAATATTCCAGGAACACGCTTTCCCGATCCGATCAGCTGTTCGTAACACTTCCCACATTGAACAAGACGTCAACGCGAACTATCCCATGTCCGCCATTTCCTGCCCGAAACCGGAAGTGACGTCATTTTCGCGGAAAATGTAGTTTTTTACTTGTAGGCCTTAAAAGCCTATACTGGTGTTTTTATAAGTCATGTTTGACTCTATACTTTTCTGAATAGTTGCTGGGATGCTTAGAACTCAAATTGCACTGCTGGAAATAGTTTATTTTGATGCACATGCTGTTTTCTTTGCAAATTTGCATCATAGGATTGTTTTTTGTTTTTCCTGCAGTATATAAAAATTGCTGTATCTCCAAAATAAAACTATGAAGACACTCAAAATAAATTTCCTGTTGTTGTAAACTATTTTTTGCAACTTTTTTGTATTTAAAGTTTTGAGGGATAAGCCTCTTAAATTTCTCCAAGTAGAAATATATGTAAAAAAACCAAAAACGATTTTCAATTTTTTTGTAGTTTATTGCACTTTTTTGCAATTAATGTAGTTACTTTGTACTTAATGCATACATATTATTAAAATTTGGGCTATAATGGTTGTATTGATGTATAGCAACTTGAAATGCTCCCAAAAATGGCTCTACAACATTTAAAAATATAATATAAGCTCTGGCGGACTTGGTTCTATGGTAGGTCTTAAATCCACCACTGTCTGTTTTGGTCTCCACCGCCTGTTGTAGGAAATGTGCTCTGCTTTGTTCATCCGATACTTTCTGAACTTTTCCATCTGCTTAACTGTAAGCATTCAATGAGAGCTTTTTGTACTCTAAACTGTTGTCGGATGCTGAAATGACCAAGCAAGATCACAACCGTGAGACTCAACCAAAAGCTATAGAGTGTAAAAACACAATGACAAAATATACAGTGTTAAACGCTGAGGAGGCCTGCTTCATGGGGGTGATCATTCTTTGAGGTTACTGTTACTGGTTCACTTTACATTGTACGTGACCGCTGAAGTTGAAATATAAAAACATAACTTAGTGCATCTTTAAAGCTACGTATATTCTGTGGCACGATTAATTGTACCAGATGTTCTCAAGTACTTTCAGCCCAGTGTAACACAACAGACAAGATCCACTGTGGATGACCTACAGTCTGCCATCCCATAATGCTTAACCCACCCATCAGTCTCTATAGCAACACCACACATGTGACTCCTCTCCCTCTCTCTAAGCTTCTAATTTGTCTAAAGTACACACAGCCATTATACTATTTTTACCTCACTCTCCCTCTTCCTCTGCCTTTTCTTTCTCTGCTCTGTCTCTCTGTCTCATGGCTTTTTTTAGAGTGTTTTGCAGGGCTGACGTCATAGTGCCTATTTTCTTTTAGCAATGCAGAGTGAACAAGACGGGGAGAAAGAAAGCAGGAGAAACGAAAAATATTGGTTTCCAGAAATACCTCCCAGCAGAAGCAGCACCAGTGTGAAATAGGAGTGATAGAACCAGAGAAAGAGTGCAAAGTAATCCAAATTGGACTTCAAACTCCACATCCCTGATGGGATACATCATGCGATTTTCAAAATATTTGCAGTGACAAATCTTGGCCAACACTTAGTAAAGCATCCTTGACTCTGTCTGGATACTGACTGGATCACAGTTGCTTTAAAGCAGCCACATGAGGTATTCCTGTCAGAGGCATCAGTGGGAAATTCCCAGTTAGTAGATTGTAGGACTGTAACACTGCAGCCAGGCTGACAAAGAGTCAGAGGTCCGCTGAGCCAAGCATTCCTTTAAACTGAACTAGTAGACTTCATTAATTTCCTCACAAATAAAATATTAAATATTCAAAAAATATTCAAAACCACCTCACAGACACATTATTTACAGATACTTTCAGTAGTACGGATATTTATTTAGACTCTTTCTCTCTGATTCATTTTTCTGAGTTAACTTCAGTAATTGTTTTCCTCCAAATCATCAACGTGTCTGTTTCCATTCCTACAAAAGTGCTTAATGTCCTACCATTAATTAATGCTTCAATTTTAAATATAATCAGTCTCTATCTCTATTACTGGCCTGTGTACCACACACCTTTAAGGTGGCAGTAATTAAACTGTTACTTAAAAAGCCATCACTTGACCCAGCTTGCGTAGAAATTATAGGCCAATCTCCAACCTTCCTTTCATATCAAACATCCTTGAAAGAGTAGTTGTCAAACAGCTAACAGATCATCTGCAGAGGAATGGTTTATTTGAAGAGTTTCAGT